TATAATATAATATAATATAATATAATATAATATAATATAATATAATATAATATAATATAATACATAATATATAATATATAACACAATATAATGTAACACAATACAATACAATATAATATATAAAAAGTTAACATAGTATTAAAATAATATTTTAATAATAAAATAAAACAGCACCAAAAAAGAGACAGTCTCCGTTTGTCTCCTTTTTCTGTCTGTCTCCTCCCTCTGTCTCTTTTTCTTTAAATAGAATCTGTCTCTAACTTCTTTTGTGTTTTTAAATAATATCTGTCTCTGTCTCCGTCTCTGTCTCTGTCTCTGTCTCCGTCTCTGTCTCTGTCTGTCTCTTTGTACAGCAACTGTCTCTGTCTGTCTCTTTATACAGCAACTGTCTCTGTCTGTCTCTTTATACAGCAACTGTCTCTGTTTGTCTTCTCCTCCTTTCTCTTCAGTTTGCTGCTACTGCTCTGTGTCTCTGCTGCAACCACAGCAATATTTAACGCCTCTCAGTCTCCTGCTGCAGCAGCAAAGCTGCTGCTCTGCTTCAGCAGCAGCAACTGTGGTGCTGCTTGCTGCAGCAGCAGCAAGCACAAACTTCTTGCTGCTGCTGCAGCAGCACAGTTGCTGTTTACTGCAGCAGCAGCAGCAGCAGCAGCAGCAACGCCCCCGTTTATGACTGCAGTAAGGAGAAAAGGCGTCTCCTTTTGCATGCGTAGCAGCAGATAAAAAGGTGCAGCCCCAAACAAATGTAGCTGCTGCTTCACTCCGCAACCACACAGCTACATATACGAGGGTTTAGGGTTTAGGGTTTAGGGTTTAGGGTTTTGCTTCCACTAGGTGTGCAGACACCTAAAAACCCCAAACCCTCATCCACTGAAGCTTATAAGCCCATATCCAAAATGCGTCAAACCCTAAACCCTAAACCCTAAACCCTAGACCCTAGACCCTAAACCCTAAACCCTAAACCCTAGACCCTAGACCCTAAACCCTAAACCCTAGACCCCAGGGGGCCTGGCCACTTTCCTGCGAACACAAACAAATGAGGCTAAACCCTAAACCCTAAACCCTAAACCCTAGCCCGAGACCCTGAGGCCTAGTGAGCGACGCCCACTGCTTCGAGCGCTGAATGCGTACATCATAAGCAGTAAGGGTTTAGGGTTTAGAGGCTGTAAGGGTTTAGGCTTTAGGGTCCAGAAGCAGTAAGGGTCTAAGGTATAGGTGTAATAAGGGTTTAGGGTTTAGGGTTTAGAATCCGTAAGGGTTTAGGGTAATAGCGAATCAGCGCGGATTTTTGTGGTTTAGGGTTTAGAAGGGTTTAGAAGGGTTTAGAAGGGTTTAGGGTTTAGAAGACCTTCTTTCTAGAAGCCCTGTAAGGCTGCATCGCATGAATGAAGCAGAGACAGGCTGCAGGCAGCCCCCGCCTTTGCTATCGGCGCACAAAACCCCGAAGTCTTCTCTGGCTGTACCCAGCAGATACACCCGACCGTCAACAGACAGCTGAACGCAAACCCTAAACCCTAAACCCTAAACCCTTCGGTTCTTCATAATAGGGTTTGGGGGTGGAAGGGTGAGGCATCGGCTCCGTCGAGAAGAGGAGTAGGGGGTAGGGGTTTTCAGGGTTTAGGGTTTAGGGTTTAGGGTTTTTCTATCCGTTAGCGTTTATAGGGCCTAGGGGTTTTTATTTAGGGTTTAGAAGGCCTAGCGTTTAGGGCTTAGGAGGCATATTAGGGTTTAGGGTTTAGGGTTTTGGGTTTAGGCGTACAACTTCTGCCCTCACAACGTCTAATGGCTGAAAGCAATCGGAGATATCGAAGTCTTCACAGAACGACTCGTGCACATCTTGTGCTCTGCGACAAACCCTAAACCCTAAACCCTAAACCCTAAACCCTAAACCCTAAACCCTTAACCGTAGGTGCTAAGACGCCCTTAACTTTGAGTCCTCAATAGCCACAGATGAAGCTGTCAGCAAAACCAAAACCCTAAACCCTAGACACCCTAGACCCTAAACCCTAGACACCCTAAACCCTAAACCCTTACCTAATAGCCCCCTTAAAAGGCTCAGGAAGGACGTGGCCATCGACAGCGAGGACAGCGACTTCAGCCAGCATGCGATTTAGGGCTGTAACCTGCACATCCAAACCCTAAACCCTAAACCCTAAACCCTAAACCCTAAACCTTAAACACTAGACCCGCAAAGCTCAAAACACCGCTTGCAAGTGTGTACGGTTTCGTGAATGGTACTGAACGGCTTCCAGAGACTGCCAATCAGGGTTTAGGGTTTAGGGTTTAGGGTTTAGGGTTTAGGGTTTAAGCACCTGGCCTAGGACTAGGGATCCAACCCGCGCAACCGCAGCACAACTTCTGTAGGCGCGGCTAACAGAAATAACATCAAAACCCTAAAAATAATAAACAAACAAATATAAATAAATAAACAAAATAATATATTATCACCCCCAAGCGTAAGTAATAAAATAAATAATTTTATTATTACAAAAAAATAATATATATATATATATATATACATATACATATATAAATATATATATATATATATACATATACATATATACATATATAAATATATATATACATATATACATATATATATATATATAAAGAAACACACAAAAATATATTTTTTGTTTGTAAAGACAGCACCCAATGAGGCCTCATTAATAATTTTATTTGTTTATACACCTGAAGTATATTAAAATCTATAATATATATTATATATATTAAATAAATGCATATATATATAATCTATCTAAATAAATAAATAAATAAAGACGAGCGCAAGCAAACAAACAAACAAAGAACATACAAAAATAAATAAATAAATAAATATATATATATATATAACAAATAAATAAATAAATAAATAGACAGACAAACAAATAAATAGGCAAGCAAGAAAGCAAGCAAATAAATAATAAATAAATAAATATATAAATAAATAAATATATAAATAAATAAATAGAAGAGCATTTGCATGCAGTTTTTAGGTGCCGAGACACCGCACACTCAACGCAAAAACAAAAACAAAAACAAAAAATAAACAAAAAGAGATGCACATACACCCCATATATATATAT